CTGTGCCATATAAACTAGGTAGCCATAACCACAAGGTGACACCTACAAGGACAAATTTCTTAAGTTGACCTGCAGTCAGTTTTGATCTTCAAATTCATTTTCCTATTAACTTGAAAATTCTCATAGCTTCTAACCTATTGGGTATAAATAGTTTACAAATTATGTATTGTGAATTTGGGGAAGTTACCTCATGTTCTTCATACAAAACAAAAATGTTCAGTCCCTGCTGTTAGTGTAATGTGTAGGCAACCATCAATCCTCTGGATCATGGCATACATGTATGAGGTCTAGTCAGGAGCCTGAGGAGCCCACTTGCACAGAGTCCTGAGACCATCAGAACAAGATCTTTGATGCATACAACTAGCCAAGAATATGGAGGAATGGAGGCTGCCCAAAACCTACCATCCCCCTTTTAGACCATTGAGACAGAATCCAAAGTCCAGACTGAGTCCAGATGTTCAGTGCCTCAATGGTTGTAGCTTCTGCCAGACAGCAACAGATAAGAACTGCTGCTGACTTCCTCAAGCCTCAGAGAGGGCACGTTTCAGTTAGGGCCATGTCCCTTTATCCTTTCTCCAACCAAGGAGTACCTACAAGACAGTGGGAGTAGGGATTTGGGGCATGCTATACCTGCATTACTTTGGACTCTTATGGCAAAAATTCCAGGGGGCACCATTCTACTGCTTAGCTGCTATGGCTGTGCATGCAGAGCTGTATCTGCATAAGACAGACTTCTGAAGAGACACAGGGGAGTGGGGAGAGGGTCATTCTCATGCGCCTGCTGCAATGAGCTTGCTCCTCAGCTGTAACCATCTGTGCCCGTGCTATGACAGCAGCAGTAGCGGCTGCCAGAGTGGAGACAGAGATAAAACCAGGTAAGACTCCCTATCCCCTTCCTAGCTCTCCAATGGTCAGCACTTGGACCAGGGCACTGCAGAGTCTCCCTACACCTCTGAGTGCATAAACTTCAGAAAACCCTTGACATTACACTTTTACTGATATAAGTGATCAGAAACTGATCTATATCCGTAGCAGAGAGCAATGGCAGCAGAGAAGAGGAATGGATGAGTAGAACAAAGGACAGCGACAGTGACAACACCAGCGGCAGTGGGTCCTCCAGCGGAAGCTGGAGCGACAATGACAAAGAGACCCTGTGAACTGAGTACCTGATGCTGGAAGTGGGACACAGGTGGATGTGAACGGAGGGCTGGTCAGAGAGACCACATAGGACTGAGTGTATTTTGTGTGTTTTGTGCATGGTTTGTGGACATTGTAATGGGTACAGGTGGCCAGTGGGCCTTTGTATGGGTGCGGTTTTTCTGTAACGGGATTGGTTTAGATATATATAACTACATATAGAGAGAGACAGAAATATATTTTTCCAAAAAAAAAAGTCCGTATCAGAACAGAAGTTCAGCGCACAGACTGGTTTAAAAATGGCAGAACCTGGTTTAAGATTTGCCCTGCACAAAGGACGAACGCATGTTCTGTTTGCTATTGATCTAAACTACTCCGCTTACAGAAAACCATGTAACTTAGATCAATTCCACCTCAGGCTTTTTTAAAGTTAGTGGCTTAGGGTAGGTACAGACAAAAAAACTTTTGTTTTTGTGGAAAAATATCCAAAACCATGCAAATTTAACTACTTCTAGCCAGAAGTATATTTAATAGAGAAAAATATTTTTAAAACACTTGCCATGATTTCCTGACTGCCGCAGTATGAAGGTACAGTTGAGGTTTGGTGTGATTTTTTATTACCAGTAAGTAATATTACAGATGTTAATAACTTGTTTCAAACATTTATCCTGCGGGCTACAATTGCAGTGTAATGGCAAATAATTTTGGACTGTGTAGGTAGAAAATTGTTTGGCTATTCTGAGTAAATATGCACAGGGTCTGGGGTGGCACAGGCACTAAGGTGCATGGTTGACAGCCCAGCAATTTCAAGTTTGAAGCCATACCAGAAGCACTTATGGCACAGCCTGTCACATTCTCACACATCTGGAGATTTTGCTACATACCTTGTCACAAGGACACGAAAAAGAAAAGAAAGAAAGAATGCACTGAAATTCTGGGTGGGCTGGAATGGTGGGGCAGGTTATGAAATCTGAGCCCACATGCTGAATGGTGAGGCTCAAATATTTAATAGCTGTCACTTGCATGGAGCAGTTCAGTTAGTTCAGCGAAGCAGACTAACATTCCATGGGGGAAAACTGCGTGCTAATAAAGATTGTATCCCAATGCACAGGCATGGGGCCGGAACAAATTCTGTTAATTGGATGCCTAAGTGGGATTCTATTCCACCTCGCCCAAGTCTTTGAAAATCCATTAATGCATCTACTTCTGAAACACCCCCGACTTGATCTTTAAGACTGAGTCACGCCTGCCTTTGGAATGAACTGTTTATCAGAGACTCAGGGTGGAATGCAGTCGTGCTTAGGTGCCTAAGTCCACTTACGTACCTAATCGGTGGAATGCAATCTAACCCAGGAGTGCCAACTTAGCATCATGTGGAATACTTGCCCAAGGCATTCCCTGACTGCTGAGCATTTCATTCTTTAACCTTCTTTCAGTACAGCCATCATGTGCAGTTGTGGGTATGATCAGCAACCAAATAAAAAGTATTTTTTGAGAAAGAGAATGTGACAAAAAAAATTACCACTTTAAAAATTAGTTTGCTGCATCCAATCTCCTCCTGAAGTCTGGAGTTAAAACCTTCTAGTCCTCCCTTACTAGTCACAGCCATTCCTCTTCATTAGCACAGACAGCATAGAGCTGTTAAACATCTTGCTACCGCAGTGCAAGAAGGCAGAGTGCCAGAACTGCATCTGATCACATTTTGTCTTAGTCACGTATTGTGCACACGTCTTTTTCCCTACACACATATTTGCAAGGACAGAGGCATAAGCCTTTGTCTATTTTTTTCTATTTGTATGTTTCTAGGGATTTTAAGATAGACATAAAATTACAAAGAGAATCGTTAGCAAATAAATATCTTAATTTTTGCCAGTCGCTGCCTAAAGCTATGATGTACCTATAAAGGATGTTGCGTTTGGCAGTTGTACAAATGAGTGACTTTAATGTATATGTATATATTTACCTATATTTGAGATGTAAAATTGGTCTTAAATACTGCCTATGCAATATAATGTAATCAAGTTCTTTAGTTCTGGTATATTACCTTCTTGCATTGCCCGAGTAGCAGAGTACTTAGCAACTACAGCTGTCTGTGCTAATCATGCCAGACCACAGCCACAACAAACCTGGAATCACTATCATGCTCCATTAGCCATCTTAATTTGATCACTCACCTGATGCTGGCCTTTTGGTAGGTGGTGCAGGTTTCTTGGTAGTCAGTTTCTCTATGAAAACACAGTGAGACACTAACTCAATAAAGTGAAACACTTCTTAACTAATTGAAAAAGGCACTTGTACATCAAGATAATAAACAAGACAAAGAAGCATAATTAAACCCAAAAAATAAGTGCTAAATTCTCAGGCCCAAGATGTTAAAAAGAGAGCTTAGATTTAAGCATATTTTGAAAAGGGCTTGCCTTTCAAAGTTGCTGAATACTCAGCATTTCCCACTGGCTTTTAGACATTTACTTTAATGCTTTTAGATATTTACATTAATAAAACTAATAAATCAGTTTTAACACTATCCATCTTGTATTTCAGTTCCCATAAAAATGTATTTAAAATTTAGCTCAAGCTCAACAGATATCCAAAGATAGAAAATATGGTTAGTTTACAGGTTTACCAACCTGAATGATCAAGAGCATCAGACAAATCAAAGTCGCCTTGACCTACCAAAAGGAAACAAACATTAAAAACAATTAATGTGTAAGTCAGATTTTATGCCAATTTTTGTTCCTTTTGTTTTATTTTTGTGAGTGTGATTTACTGCCAGAACTCTATTGGCAAACATCAGGGCACAGACCTTTAGTAATAGAAAGCCGATCCAAACGGTCACATGACAGAGCAAGATGCACACAATCCTATTCCATTCTGTAATACATCCCAGGTTTCATATGGCATTTTTGAATGAAAGGTCTCAAAGTGTATTTAAAAGGTCATTTTGTAAAATAGGAAACTGAGGCACAGGGGAAACATACTGCCCAAGATCATCCAGCTATTCTATATATTCCCAGTGATTTGAAACCATGTCTCCCAAGCAGAGATGATCACAGCAGGGTGCGGGGCCCAGGGCAAATCAGCCTGCGGGGGTCCCAGATGCAGTGGCTGGGGAGGGGGGAGGGAGTGGTGAGCTGCTGAACGCAAAGTCGGCCTGGGACCTACAAGGCGCAGGACACAGGACAATTGCCCTGATTGCTGCCCTCCCGTCCCCCCTCCCAGGGATGGCCCTGCTCCCAAGTCTCACTTCAGTACTTTCTTTATTCACTAGGCCATGTAGACTCCCTTAATAATAAATAGTAAAATAGTAGCACGCGGCTATAGCACAAAGTTCTTTAAAGTCTTAACTGAAGACTCTGAGATACCTGAATGAGAAATATCACCTATGGTGTGAAGGAAAAGTAGGTCACAAAACAAGATCATCCAGTTAACATAATCTTTTTTAATTGTCCCAGTACCTTGGAAGATTGCATCCCTAATTATCTCCTTCCCCTCCTCCTTCCCCTCCCTTGGGAACTTATCCAACACCATCGTATTACCATATTTTCCTTACCTTTCCTCCCCAAAATCAGCTGCTGCTGATTGGGGTACACATTTTAAGTGGGAAAAAATAGGGCAATAGCTATTTCTGCAGGCAGGAAAAAAAGTAATGCTGCACATGTTTTACAGGGATCTCTACAAAGAGCACACTGGGCTCTCCAGTTGCTACCATTCAGTCACTTATTGCCACATACCAGTATTTTCAAGGAAAGATCTTTTTTATTCCCCTTCATTCTGCTTTTTAGAAACAAGGTGTATCTTAAGTCATATTGTATACTAGCAGGGCTGGTCCAAGGGTAATTGGCACCCTAGGTGAACTGTGTACCTCGGCACCCCCACCACTTCCAATATAGAAGAAAATAAGAAGTCTAGAATGAACTTTTACATGTACTTATTTGATATTCGAAATGAACCATAAAAAAATAAAACCTTTTTTTATTGTTTCACACTTTTCGTTAACCCTAACATAAGTCCTCTTGAGGGTTGAAAAAGTAGGAGTTGCAATTCTAGTGATCTTTCCTCTGAGATCTGTTCAGAGGTCTTTCTCCCCTTACCAAACCAAAGGTCTTAAACTGAGGTGAAGCCGTAGCTGGCCAGGGGTGTTATTTAGAAAGATGTTCCTGTTATTTTGTTCTGCATATAATTTTGGTGCCCCCCAAATTCTGGCTCCCTAGGCGACTGCCTAGTCCGCCTAATGGTTGGACCAGCCCTGTATACTAGAAAATATGGCAGTTGATAAAGTCTGACAGTAACTTCTATTATTATTGGTTTGGGTCCTTGAACACAACAAGATTTTTCAGAAAGTGAAGAGAAGGGGCTACCAAATATTTTAACAAAAAGCCACCACAGGAGCACTCCCCTCAGTCTGTAGTGAAAGAGTTGGAGGACAACCAGAAGGAGCAAAGGACGTTAGTGTCCGTAACAGATCCTGCTTCAAACCCAATATAGAGAAAATTGATCTGGATTCCCTTCCCAGAGTTTTTTCACTATTGGGATTTTAAGCTTGACAGTTCTTATGATTTTTCCCTTTGTAAATTTTCTTTTTACTCCTTCACTAGTTCTCACTATGTTTCTGCCATCCTGCATGAAGTGAATAGAGCTCAGCTGATCTGACATCGGAGTGAGTCAGCAGAAATTCTGTTGCCCTTTGCAAAAAGTTTTTGGCTGAGCTGGCTGCTTTGTGACAGGTTCTAACAAGTAAGAAGTAACTACTAATACAAAGACCAGCTACCAAAGGATCAAAGACAGCTTTATACCAGAGAAATGCAACATTTCTCTTATGAATTAAGACTTTAAGACTATACTTCTAGATCACATTCAGTTTACCTCAACTTTAGGAGAAAAACACAAAAGAGGAAAAAGAACTGAAACTGATTAAGGCAGCGAAACAGGATGACAGGATTGTACAGGAGCTTTAGCCAAAGACCGCCAACCCACAAAAAAGACAGTAATCTGGAGCAGCAACCAGGATCTACCCACCTACTATCTCAATAGATTTTTATAATGCGATTTGAGTAAATGAGATGCAAATGAGAATAAAGATGGAGTAATGTGAAATCAGGAGAGAAAAAAAAAATACAGAAATAATGAGCAGACAAGGAAAAAAATCCTGAAAACCATCTGCAGGAAATGTACAAACTAAATTTTGACCCTGCCAAGTGTGAAAAAGTATACCCAGAAAAAAGCGAAGGGAGGCTTGGGGTTCCTTATCAATTACTCTAATGCGGGGAGCCAGGCTCAGTGGCTTAAAGGGGGGATAAAAGGTCTAGGCAGCCTTCACTCCTCAACCCCCCTTCCCCCCAAAAAAACCCCAACTCCTGCCTAGGCATATGCATTAAAGATCCCGGCGACCTCTCATGCATACACCATGATCCAGAAGGAACAATGGTTGTCAAATTCTAATGGGGAACGACAGGTCAAAAATTAAAAAGATAGATGGGATGACACACGTTATCCTGACATACAGATGGCTGAGGAGGGTATCATATTAAAAATATCCAGCTAGTCAGAAGACTGTTAAGAATTCCATCCTGATTGTATATGCCAGCTAATTTTGCATACAGGCAAATTTAATGGTGCAGAATTAACTTCTGTTTTCATGCCAAATATCTTAAGAAAAGCAATTGTGAGGATAACAGGTGACTTAATTTTTGAGACTGGATCTGAAACACTTGCAAAATTGCTGGTTCAGAAATGAACAAAAAAATCCTTAGAGGCTCAGCTGAAAATTCAGCTCAATGTGCTATGCAATTACTTTAGGGAATTCAGATGAAAATAAATCCAGATGATCTTCTAAGTTAAAACAGACTGAAAAACATGTTTTTCTACATTATAAAAATGTTAATATGCTCTTTTTTTTTTTTTTACCAACCCCTATTATGGGAATAACTAGAAATAAAAGGAGGAAACTGGAAAAAGGAAACAGTTGTAACTAAAAAAAGCAGTAAACCAGGGATCCTGGTTTTTGCTGCTAAACACAATCCCCAATTTTCAGGTTAAAAAACTAATCTAAACTCCACATTTTTCCATGATTAAAATGAATTGCCACTAATATAGAGATATATGTATAGTGGTGTTTCATTTTGATCATGGAGAAGTCTGGATTTGGAGTTACTGTTTTTAACCCCAAAATTGGGGATTTTTTTTTAATCAGAGAAAAACAGGATCCCTGGTTATGAGTGTTTTAATCTTTCTTATGTAACTAGACTTCACTAACATCTCAGAGAATTTAACCCAGTTATTCATGCTTCATGCTACCAGAACCACCAGAGCTGATAGCACCAGCTTGAGGGCATGAGACCAAGGCCCAATGCTTTATAACCTTATTTTTCTGCATCACTTCCAAAATGTTTTTAGCAAGCATCTGTGCGTTAAATATAGCAAGTTGACTATGATTGTGACTCACTGTGGGTGGATCAGTCACATCCTAAAGAGAATTATCGAGGATGAGAGGATGTTTACAAACTGCCGCCTGACAGCATTCAGTGGACCTTGTCTACAAAATAAGAAGGGTTTGTAATACAGCTATGTAGCCAAATCCTCCTCATGGAGGCACAGTTTTTATCACCAAAGGAGTTTGAACACTATGTATTATACTAATTCCCCAAACACAGTAAAAGGCAGCAAGAAAGGGATTTTTTCCCCCTATATAGCTGTGCTGATTCCCCTTTATCTTTCTAACCAACAGAGCTATATGGCAGTGCCAGTATACCAGCTTTAAATGTAACCTCTACACCAAAATCATTAGCGCTAGACCCGGGTGGGCAAAATGCGGCCCATGGGCCAGATGCGGCTCACCAGGCCATTTTATCTAGTCCACGGGGCCCCTAAAAATTTAGAAAATAAATATTTATCTGCCCCTGGCTGCCTGTCCTGCGGCCCTCGATGGCTTGCTAAAACTCAGTAAGTGATCCTCCGCCTGAAATAATTGCCTGCCCCTGTCCTAGACTGCCTCTGCACACATTCTTTCAGGAACACACCCTTTCAAGAAAAAATGCTAGGCATGCACTCAAAAAGATATTATTTTCTAAAGCAAAAT